AAGGGTTGGACTTGATGATCTTATACATCCTTTCCAACCGAATGATCCTGCGATTCTATGGTTGCAGTGGATATTCTCCGTGACATCCCCATTAAGCTCCGATAGCTGAACAGGGCCCACCACAAAGCACTGAAATACTACAGGAAGTGATTGATTATTTCTTGTGTTAGGAGACATGCTGCAATCCCAGTCTGTCCTGCCTGGGATGCCTTGCAGAGTATGGGGCATGTTCTGAGATGTGACATTTCAGGTGGCACCACCTATCATAAGCCTCACTCAGAACTTCCCATGACAATCCTGCTCATCACGTAGCCAGCATTTACAATGGATGCTGATACTAGTCTGTGAGCATCCACACCACACCAGATCCCCTCCTGCATCCCCAGCACCCTTTTCCCAAGGGTATAGGAAAGACCCTTTTCCTCTTTCTCAGCACACTGGAGGCCTTCCTGTTTTCTACTGCAAGACCACAAAATCTCAGATGAATGTGGGGAGATCACACTTGTCCCTTTTCCTGGGCCTCACCATGGGAAGGCGATAAAGTGCCCTGTTTTAAAAGCTTTTTCTTCCTAAAATGGGAGTCTTCCAGCTCTGATCCAAGCACTGGCACCCTCCCCAGAGCTCCTGTTTTTGGACTAATTGTGTCCAGAAGGGGAAAAGCAAGCCAGCTCACATTTGTTTTCCTATGTCATCCTTTGTAGGGTATCATGTCTCTGCATTCCCTGTCTGTTTTCCCCTGTCCTACTTTCCTCATCCTTGTTCTTAGTAGCCCTGCCCTTCACGGAACTCAACTTGTTGAACCTGCTGGGTCCCTCTCCTTTCCTTCCTCCTTTATTACTTTGTGGCTTGGGTTCCTCTGCAATGTCTTCCTCATTTTCTTCTGTCCCAGAATAGCTGTGGAGATCAGACCTGTCTTCTCCCAAATCCTTGCCCAGAGCCACTCCTGCCCTTACACCTGGAAGACAGGTACAGAAGAGTAGAGTGACCTGTGCTCATATTCCTAACATGGCAATTCTATTTTCCTCAGCCTTTTTGCCCACAGAGCCCACACCTGCTAGCAATGCTTAGTAATGTTGATTACCCTGACTAATGAGAGTCTTGTGCACACATCTCAGAGAGACCAAACCCCAGAGGGACGAGGAAGGAAGAAATTGCCCTTGCACGTGGCTGTGTTGTTTCCTCTTGGCAGTTACCAAGAGGCTGTGGAGGGAGGGCAGAGTTTGCTCAGAGCCCAGGAGGAAGCTAGGCTGGCAGATAACCTCATATGTGGCATCAGGGGCTCATTTTCTGGTGCAGAATTTGAGATATTCAGCTTTGCTGGGCCCCGATATATTTGCAGTATGACCGAGGGTTGGCTATTGTACAGCTTTGCCTTGCTACAGATTTCTGGGCTTTAAAAGGAAAAACCTTGCAAAGACAGAAGTGCTTTGAATCGTGGACTGTGCTGGATACCATGCAGGTGAGACACAGCAGGGAGAGAAAGATACTCAGTCATTTCTGGATACCCTTCCCCTAGCATGTCAACAGACTGCAGACATCTGTGTGTTGTGACTCAGGCTCATGGCAAGAGATTTTGTGTCCCAGGAATGACTGAGATTCCCAAGAAATACATGAGAGATTTTTCACTATCTTTCTTTGCTGGCCTCTGGGCAGCTGGTAGAAGAGGATATTTCTAATTCACTTTATAGGATTTTAGATGCACAAGAGAGGCACAGCACATCAAAGAGGAATGAGTGCTGTAATTCCCTGAAAGGTCGGGGCTTTTTACAGAGCTCTTTATTGCTGTTAAGCTCTTTAGGGAAAACATTCTGTCTACCACAGATTCAGTGGTGGTAGTATGACATGCAATGCCCATCCATCCTGATTACTACTTCAGCCTCTAGGGAATGATCCAGATCCTCAAAGACTGCTAAGTATTGGATTTAATTTGAAATCATCGGGAATTTGGCATCTAAATCTTTAAATACTCTGCATAAAGGACTGCCCTGCAAAAGCTGACTTGTGTGTGTGCTTTACCTTGGCAATCTCTGCCTGTATTCAGTGATGCATGGAATCTCTCACACTGTCCTTGGAAGCATCCCTATTTTGTCACCTGTGGCTGTTCTTATTAGAGAAAGGGCAGGTTGGAGTAGGAACAGGACAATTCCAATCCCTGTTGGTGATTAACAAGAGGCAACCCAAGGAGATACTCTGAGCAGAGGGACGGTGCAGATCAGGGGGTGAGAGACCTTGCCCCAGTCTCCAGAAACACAGAAAAATGAGGGATGCTTCAGCAGCAATGGAAGCTGGCAGGTGGAAGATGCTCCCCATAACTGTGCTGTTTGGGGAAATATTTCTGATGATAGCTGAGTTTTTGGTTCTGGTTTTCAACTTTGTGCCCTGAGCACAAATGAGTGATTTTAAATAGGACAGAAGTTTAGCAAGTACTGTACCCTGAGGAAAAGTGAGATGTTAAAAAGTATGGATTAAATAGAAAGGTCAAAAAGTCACAGAAAAGTTGGTTAGTTTGTGAAAAAAATTATCTTTCCAATTTTCAAAGACTGTGTCTTTGATAAGGGAGCAGACCCTGTTTTGGAGCTGATATAAAATGAAGAAGAACGACTGAAAGCTCTGGATAAGGCAATAGGCATTAAAAATAAAGAGAATTATCCAGTCTCAGGAGGCTTTTATGGGGAGTGAATAATACACTGACAGTAAGGACAATTCAGACTACCACAAGTGAAGTTTACAGCAGACAGACAGAGCTTTGACTTAGCCATTGTTTAGGAACTTAAAAAAAATCTAAGCAAACCATCTTAGAGATTTTATACTGACCTCAAATGAACAACTGAACTGATAAAGATGTTAAGACATTTCTGTATATGGCAAAAATACTGTTGATAGCAAGAGAACGGGAGGTGTGAATCTGTGGGTTGTTGGAACAAAGAAGCTAAAATAAGCTATGCACAGGGCCTGCACATTTTCTACTGTTTCTCTGAGTAGCTTTGGCAAAACAGTGCTGTTAACAGCTCTGTATATATGACACACTTTTTCATTACAAGCAGCTTGTGAGGCATGGAAAGATCTGAGCATGTGTGCTGGGGTGGTGGGCTTGAGTTTTCGGAAATTTGCAGGGAAGTGCAGACCTCTGAGGCAAAAAATTGCTTTCTCCAAGAGAGGGACTGTCGGAAAATGGTGTCAGAAATGTGAAGTGGCCAGCCTGGCTGAGAAGTCAGAGCTTGATCCATGTGTGCTGATGCATCATTTGACAGATGTTGGCTGTGAGTTGCCTGTATCAGTGATTTACAGGAATAAGGAAATAGATGAGGCAGAAGGAAGCCATGGTACAATGGGGCCCTGGGAAGTGAAACCATGACCAGGACAACAGTCTTACCTCCCATGGGATAGTGCCATTGTGTTGGTGGCTCTCATCACCACCTCTGGAGGGAAAATCCTCTTCAAAGGAATAGAGGTCCCAGCAGAAGGGCACTGACTCAGCTGCATTGCTTGGGAAAGAGCTCACATGCCTGGCAATGGGAGTTACTGGCAAATTACAGACTCCACTGGAACAGGTACTGGAACACCCACTTTCCCGTATTGCAGTGATATTGATGGTTCAAATTTTATACTCACTGGGTTGGTCAGGGAAATAGGATAGGTGAAACATGTATGTGTTGCATATATGTTGTGTTCCTGTGGAATGGAGATGGCTGTACCACAGTCAGATCTCAGGGAAACCAAGTACTCCAGGATGCTCTAGCTTGGACCAGTGCCTGCTCTTCTGACAGGTGACACCAGTGAGTGCTAGGAAGAGCAGATCACTAGATTTGATGAATTCATAGTAGCCTTCCAGATGGAGTGGCCATAGATGTGTGTGTGAAATGTGGAGCAACAACAACAGTTATTGCTGTTCATGCCACAGGTTTTGCAATTTTCCTAGGATAATTTCTTCTTTTTGCGTTTACATTGTTTAATTGATATAATGTCATCTAAAACATTCCCCCACCATTGGGGATAGAATTTTGCAGCATCCTTAGCCTCTTTAGGCCTTTAAGAGACTTTAAACATGGCTCTTTAAAACATCCTAGTGAGTTTGTCCTGGGGTGAATGATTTCAACCTAGATGCCTGAGATGCATTCATTTTCTGTGCTTGGAAGTACTGGCTTTTGGATGACTGAGTGGATGGAGTGATGGGGGAATTAGGACAGCAAGCCCTGATGTTACAACATGCCAGGAAGAAAAACCAAACCAGAGTAGTATAGCATCATAATCTGGTTCTGGTTTTCCTCTTGGCTGTTCCTCAGGGAGACAGATCAGAACGGCCGAGTTTGCTGGGACTCATGTTCATTTTCAAAGATTTTTGTATACTCATCTGCAGTTCAGGGGATTTAGTGATCCAAACACAGGTGGAATATATCCTTAATCTCTCCCCAACATAGACAATGTGTATGAAAATATATACAATGACACATATTTTTTCTTAGAGCCAAGAGGAGACTTCACTGCTGGACTTCATCTCTTCCCTGAGAAGGTTCAGACTTTTTCAGGAACAAATGAGTAGTCACTAGTGACATGTGGGCTGGAATATTTTCTTTCCTATTCCATTGGCATCTAAAATCTTTGCAGTGGATAGCTCTGGAAACTTCCTTCTTGTCCTTTATTCTTAAGCATATAGGCACAAAATCTTTCATTACAAACCAGAGCTATCCTGCTTTCTACGTCATCCTAGAAGTGTTGCATTATGATGACAAACATGCAAAGAAGACCACAGTAAAGAGTTTGTTGCTAGCAAAATGTCTGTATTAAAATACAAAGAAAACTTCCCTGCTGGGAACAGTAATTAATGGACTCTCTTTTGTATGGTACTAACAGCATTGTAGGTTCTATTTCCAAACAGACCACAATGTTCTTGAGGAATAAATTCCACCATTGTCAGTCTGAACCTCAGCCTAAAACACAAAGAGTTCAAAAACTATAGTGTTGTGCATCTTATCAATATTCCAGCATCATGGCACTGGCTTACTGCAATGTGTCCCATCAGATGTGGGTTATATCTGAACACTGCTTGGTGATGGCAAACTCAGAGGGCTTCCTATTGTGTTTGAGAAGGCGATGATTGTGTTGGAGCCCTTGGAGTTCTTGTTCATACCCACAATGTCTGCATTAGTTTGCTCTGGCTCGGTTTTCCTGAAGATGTTTTTCATGGTTGACTGGAAGTTATTGGTGACAAAGCAATAGACAATGGGGTCCATGCAGCTATTGAGGCTACTCAGAGTCACTGTCACATGGTAGACGAGGAGGCTGACGTTGTGGGGCATGTCTGGGTTGATGGAGATTGTGACCTGTAGCACATGGAAAGGAGTGAAGCAGATCATGAAGATGATGAGGACGGTGATAAGGAGCTGCACAGCCCTCATTCTCCTCTCCCGACTCTGGTGCATGAGGCTGGGCTTGGACAGGGCACACATAATCCTGGTGGTGAAGAAGATGATTATGATGAGGGGGAAGAAGTACTCGCAGACCATCAGGACCAGGATCTTGGAGAGGCAGCACTCGGCAAACCGTATCGCCATGGTCAGGATGGAGAAAGTCACCACAGTGGCAAAGATCCAAATGAAGATGCAGATCCCCTTGGCACAGGTGGGGTTCCTCCATTTACGTGAGGCTTCCACCTGCACTATTGCCAGGTAGCGGTCAACGCAGATGCATGTCAAGAAGAGGATGCTGCAGTACATGTTGACAAAGTAGCCGAAGATGTGAACCAAGGAACAATTCTTGCAGTCCCCTGTGCTGTAGAACATGATGATCCGGACAGGCAAGGAAAAGCCCACCAGGAGATCAGTTACAATCAAGTTGATGGTGTAAATAACAGAGGTGGTTTTTGTCTTGGTGCGGAAGCAGAAGACATACAGTGCCAAGCTGTTCAGGACAACACCCACCAGGAAAATGATGGCATTGACTACCATCAGGACAATCCACAGGCTATAAAAATCTGTGAACAGTTGTTTGTCTGAATGGATGAACTTGGAGAACAAGTTGATGTTGGAGTCAGGTGGCTCGGTGGAGTTGATAGAGTCAAGGGCTGGCAGTTGGGTGGAGGAGGTGGGCATGGTGATTGACTTCCAACAATCTGGAAGAAAAGGAACAGATGTATAGTGATAAATATATCAGCATTCCTTAGGGCTCAAAATCTTGTCACTTAAAAACTTTTTAACCAGTATGTTTGCACATCCTGAGTAGTTGATCCCCATCTACCAATATGGGATTACCAATAATTGCCAGGAAAATACCTGGGCTTATAATTAGTGTCTTCCAGTAGTTCCAGATGCATGTATGCACAAGTATGATACAAGTGTGTCATATCCCTTGCTTTGGGTAGGTGATCCCATTAGAGAGTTACATGCAGCAGTGTTTTCAGGAGCTGTAAGATTTCCCTGAAATCAAAGAAAGGCTGAATTTTCTGAGAAAGCGGAAGCAGGTTGTGTGGCATCTTCTACAGATCTGTGTTCACAGCAACAGCTGCCAGAAGATTTCAAGCTAAGGGTGTAAGCCACTAGTCCTGCCAGGGTTTGACAGTTTAATTTGCAAATCATTCCTGACTTATACATTATTTTAAACTGATTTGTATATTAAAGATTAAAAAAAAAAGACCCAATATATACAGAGACTTGGCTGGTTTCAATAAAAATAAATGGTTGAAAAATGTCTGGAATATCTCAAAGTGGCTGGGCAGGGCTTTGAGGTTAAAAAAATCAGCTTGGATCAGCAGAGAATGATGCTGAAATAGTTGATTTATGAGGTTTTGAAATCCCTGCTAATGAGCCAAATGCAGAAGGACTGGGAGACAAGGAGCTGAAAACACATCTCCCAGTGCTCACAGAACTGCAGTGTGCCTGGGCTGGCTATCTCAGTTTGGAAGTCTGGAATTGCTGAGGGAGTCTGGATGTCCAGTCCCCCAAGCATAGCCCATCCTCTGGCAGATTTTTTTCCCTCTCCTCTAAAATTTTTTGCTGCTTATGGGGATCAGGAGGATGGACCAAAGGTGCTGTATCACCTGTGAGGTGCTTCAAGCTGTTGGTGGCTGTGTACAAAATAGAGGAGGGAGCTACTTAGGACAAAAGTGAAAAGTAGGTCCTGAGGAGATTCCCTGCTGGTGAAAAGAAAATGTTCTGCAGGGACAGTACTAACTGAGTCTAGAGAACACCACAGCAGCTCTGAGCCTGCCTCATGAGTGTCAAAGCCTTCTTCTGCCTGCCCACCATGTCTCTCTGAATTTCCTGCATTCAATTCTCCTAATGTGTCTCACCAGTGTTTGGCCAATAGTTAACATTCAAGATCAATAGTCCTCATGGGATGCTACAGCCTAGTTGTGATTACTCTGCTTGGCTCATTCAAGCCAGGTGAGAGTGAAGCAGAACATTTGTGAGAAAAAGCAGAGATTAGGACTGAGAATTTAGAAGACCAGTTGTGAAAATTCTTGGAGAAGTGACTTTGCCGTCATGATGGATATTGGGTTTGTTAGCCTGGAATCTTGGGTTTGCTCTAGTTTCTTCCTGCCTCAGTCTGTGGAACTGGTTTGAAGGAAAAAGCTGTTTTTTAATGTCCTTGAGCTCAGAAGGATATTTTTAATCAAATGTCAATTTCTGTTATTTAGGTAGATACTGAAGCCCAAGGAGTTGAATTGTCCATTGGAATGGCTGATGCTCAAACATAAAGCCCTCCTGAGATCCAGCCTAGTGCCAGAATACACTGCAGGACTGCAATCCTGAAGCCTGGGGTCAGGCCACATGTAATGCCCCAAAGAGCTACTGGGCAGAGAAGAACTATGCTAGTTTCTGTCACCTTTTCCCTCTAGGCCATCTCCAGCAGAAACCAGACATTGGAACATCATCTGTTTTGGGAATGACCAGATTACCTCACTCTGCACTGAGCTCTGGTGGCAGCCAAAGTAGCACACATGTTCATGATGTTTTGTTTGGGTCTGACTGAGCCTGCAGACTCCTGAGGGAGAGTCTTGTCTCTTCACATTTTGTGCCAAGCACACTGTCAGAGAAAAACAGGAAAAACTGCCCCCAAAATAGGCTGAAGGTAGTGGCGTTGCAAAGTCTGGCACCTGAGAAAGATGTATGGGGATGATGAACAACCTTGGCCCATTTTCTTCTGATTTTCTGAAATTCTCACCATCTTCTCTGTTTGTTTGTTTCACTCTTTAATTATGAAAACAAACTGAAATGAGCAGATGCCTGGATCTGCTCCCAGCTTTCTCTTTGCAGATTCTATCAAGAGGAGCACTGTGGAAGCCAAGGAATAAAGAAAGACTGATGTCCCTGGAGTGCAGTGTGAGCTTGTATACCTGTATTCAAACACATACCTGAGCAAGGGGAGAACACAAAATCACCCATCCCATCCCTGAGCTTGCAGTAAACTCTATAAAATTGCACATGCATTTGTCTTCTCATTGTAATTCAATGGCACTGGTGTTTGCTCTGATTTTGCCTCTTCTTAGTAGCTTGCCTCCTCTGGGAGTTTTTTGTTCAGTCTGAGATCCCTTATCACAAACACCTGAATAAGATATTCATCTTATTTTGCCTTTCTTGTCTCAATGAAATCAGCAATTCCAAATACATTCAAATGTTCCTCATCTTCACAGTGCCTTTGAGGGATGTTGGACGTGTTACAGACAAATTGAAAATTAAAATAATCAGCATATACAATGTCCTGGCTTACATAGCCACCTTTTCCACTGAGCCCCATGTGCAAGGAAATAAACTCCAGATATTGTAAACTGCTGAAAAACAACAGGTAACATTGTGTTTGCCAAATTGAATATATAAAGAAGTGCTACATTAAAGCTTTCCCAGTCCATTTCTGCCCTTTCTGAACTCAAAATCCAAACAATTACATGAAAGAAGTCCCAGCAAATTTAATTAATCCTGAAGATTTCCTCCCTGACAGTCTGTGGAAAAGCTGCCTCTTGGGCTGTGGTGGGAAAAATCTTCCTCTAATCAAATTGTTACTGATGGATGTTTGGGTGAATGGCCTCTTCCTTTCTTTGTGGGAGTGCTCTCATCTCATGGCTCACAAGCAGAGAGGATGGAGAACTGGACTAGCAAGCAACAGAACTCCTCTAAATGTTTTTAATGAGATGGAGCTGGACCAAACCCCCAGTTTACAGTTTCTAAGGATTTTTCCATTGTGGGACTCCAAGCCTGTGAGAAAGGTACATTGCCCCATTTTGCAGCACAGAAAGGCAGCCTGACCTTGTGCCTGAGCAAAGCTAAACATTTCCAAAGATTTTGAATTCTTCCCCTCTCCGAGTCCAAATACTATCTCAACCAGGTCTCTTTCTTTATCATCAGACATACTCATGCAGGTATTAAAGTGAGTCATTTCAGCTACTCATCACCATGACGTGGCGGTATATGGAAGTCAGTGAGGAGCATGGCTAAATTAATGAGAAGCTTTGCAGCCTCTGCAAACCTTTATTTTGCTGTTATGCACTATTTATTACTCATTGCTATGGCATGAGCTCATGCAGAGCTGCAAGAACCACCTTTACTTATAGAGTAAATAGACTTTGGATTAACCCCCTTCCTAAAATCCTCAAAGGCCTTGGAGCTTAGTCTACTTCATACCTTCCTGAGCTCTCAGCTCCCTAGATTTCCATGCAATCCCTATTTCTTGGAGCTGGCAGTCTGCAAAGCCCAAGATGGGTAAACATGCACCCTTTTGAGTGCTGTCTGACCGTGCCAGTTGGCCTGTGCTGTTATATTATACCTCTCAGGCTGGATTTTGTCTGTCTGGCTGGGAAACTGGGTAGCATTTCCTTAAAAGTACAGCAGGAATCTGGGTAGAAATGGGATGAAGGGAGGGACAGAGAATGGAGGTTGACCTGCTTTCCCTCATTCTGATAGAGGTCCCTGCTCAGCACTGGGAGAGGGGGACTTGCTCTGAAATACTTTCTCACTGTTGTGTGACACAACCAGTTCCATCATTCTTGGGCCAAATAGGAAACAGATGGTCACTGTGCTGAAAACAGGTCCTGCAGCCTCTTCCCTCACTCACTCAGTGATTGGCATCACGCTTGTTAACTTACAGCTCAGTGCTGTGTCTGCTCTAGGAGGAGATCCTTGGCCATCCCATATTCCACTTCACCCAGCCTTGTGCCTGGTGACAGCCTTAAGCCTCACCCTGACCTTGCTGAAATTAATGGGGTTCAATTCCTTAGCCCAGGGGACTTTTGGATCTGGCTCAGCAACTCAAGTAATAAGATACAAAAGAAAAGGCAGGTCAGACAACTGAGTTTTGTCCTAACTGCATGCCAAAAGGATTATTTATTGGTGTGCAGAAAGGATCTCTGTGTGCAGACCCAGAGAACACCAGAGCCACACACTAGGATCGGAAAGTTGAAAAGGACGTTAACAAGCACAAGTGTGATTTAGTATAAACAGCTTCAGCTTTTCTCATCTCCCTGTCCTGAACTGGAACATCTGATATGGCAACCTGGCTCCTCTATCATCCTCCCTGTTCCCCTCACCCTGTCCTGCCTGCTGGTGTTATTCTGCTGCCTGGGGTGGCAGCAGTGTGTGTTTAGCTTTTCAGCCTTCCTGTGTTTAAAGTTCCCTGGGTGATTTATCATCATATTTATAAATGAAGGGTTAAACTCACTCTCTTTCAATTTAAATTGTATGATTCTCCTTCTGGCAAGCTCTCACTCAACTCTGGATCAAACTGGCCAAATATGGTGTTTTTGTGCATGTCGACCTTGCCCTATACATGCTAGAGCTTGCTCTACGTGTCTCGTGCTCAGCCTTGGGAGGGTGGGTTTGCTGACATGGGGAACAGAGAAAGGAAGAGAAAAGGAATGAATCCCACTGCTGAAAGGAAAAAGCTGGTGCCCATCTGGCCACCAGCTTGGGGTGTGAGAAGAGAGAGAATTCTGTGGGAGACAGATTCTACTCTGAAGCAGAAATAGGGCTATTCTCAGGGCAGGTAAGATCCCATTTTTGTGGGTATCAGATCTCTGCTGTCACTTGATTCCTGAGCACTGAGGTGTCCTTTAAACCTCCAGGTCTGAGGGTGACTGGATCAAGTGTGTGAAACACCCACCTTCTGGGGATTTGCAGTTAGAAATTGCTAAATCCAGAGCAGAGCTGGATTAGTCTTTCCCCTCCAATGCCATGGACATAAAAGGGACTTTGGAGACACAAAACACATAGTTTTATGAGTGTCAGATTAAATGACACCTGATTTCTTGCAGTCTCATGTCTCACAGTGGCTTTCAGGGCTGGGGGAATGCTTTGCCCTGCTTGAGATGCTTATTATAACTTTTTCCCATGTGGACACTTGGCTGCCTTAATGAGCACTCACATTCCAGCTCTTCCCTTGGCTCCGACAATTGTTTGACTTTCTCCTTTCTTTGCTGCCTAATTTCCTGAAAATTGAGGTGATCTTTCCCTTCTGCCAAATTCTAGTTGAAATTAGGCAGCAGATTGAAAAACATTAGGAGGACGGAGGAAATCGGGGCTGACAACCACACAAACAGGCGCTGAGAGTGATCCTTGTTTCCTCTAATGCGAACCTGCAAGTCATTTGTTAACACTGTCCACTACACATCCTTTCATTTAGGTCTTACTCCCTGCAAATTCACAATTGCTTTGGCATTGAAACACAGCAAACAGGGCTGGATGATTTCTGTGAAACAGAGTATTGCTTGCTTCTCATTGTTTTCCTGAAGAGAAATAATTTCAGATTTATGCCAAACCATGGGAGAACCAGCCTGACTGGGACAGATGATGGCTAATTGCTGGGTGTTGGCACTATTCAGCCATGGTCTGCTTGCCCATGTGTCATAAGAGTGTGATGGCCAGCAAGTCCTACTTTGTCTGATGGTTTGAATGGTCATGTGCTGAATTACAGCTTTTGTCTGGAATCACAGAATCACAGACTATCCTGAGGTGGAGGGGAACTCCTGCCCCTGCACAGGACCATCCCCAAGAGTCACAGCATGTGCCCAAGAGAGTTGTCCAAATGCTCCTTGAGCTCTGTCAAGCTTGGTGCTGTGACCAGTTCCTTGGGAAGCCTGTTCTAGTGCCCAACCCCCCCCTGTGGGTGAAGAACCTTTTCCTATTATCCCATCTAAGCCTACCTGGACCCCACTTCAGGCCATTACCTCAGGTCCTGTCACAGGTCACCACAGGGAAGAGATCTGTGCTCTGCCCCTCCTTTCACAAAGAAGTTTTAACTTCAGTGAGGCCTCCCCTCAATCTTTTCTGTGATGAACAGACCAAGTGACCTCACCTGCTCCTCATACAGCTTCCTCTCAAGGCCAAGAGAGATTAATGCCCCCAAACTGACTTTTGAATCTCTAATGTTGCCCATGAAAATCAGATTTCCCATCTGGCAAGGGGAAAAACTTGTATGTCCAGTCTCAGGCATAGGGGTAATCCTTCAAAACCTGTAAGGAATCACAGAGTGAGGATGTGTGAAGGCTGATGCAGTGCTGGTTGTTGGGCTGGTGTTGTTGATATGCTGTTTGCCTCCTGCCTGAGATGCCCAGTTTGCCTCTGTGTGCTCCTCCATCTCCGAGGCCCTGCTGTGGATGGGGAATGGATATTGCTCTGTGTTGTGATCTGAGCTCCCCCCACCACACCCAGCTCAATGCTGTGTATATACACGGGTGGATCCTGTGCTCTCCATGGGCCCAAGGCCAAAATCTCATCCTCTGAAGGTGAGGGAGCCACATCCCTAGCTCATTTTGTGACAAGAAATAGTCTGTGGGTGCCCAAGCAATGATTTAGTCCAGCAGGTCACCCTAGGCCATGAGGGATCACTGCCAGTTAGATGAGGGAGAGCACAGCTCTCCAAAGTGCATTCCTCTTCTCCACGGAGCAAAGTGACCCCGATGGGATTGATGCCACTTGGCTTGGACCAAATGCCAACTCTCTGCATCCAGGCTTGAACCTGCTGCTTAAAACCAGGTGACAGATCACAGTCCTGGACACCCCAGAGACAATCTATTTAAAACTTGGAAAGGTCTGCATGGTTCTCCCTCAGCCCTTGTCCTGAGCATGCATGAAAACACTGAAATGAAGCCCCCAGAGATACACAAAGGAGGCAATTCACATATTGGCATATTTCTTATGAGTTTATACCTCCTCTATGGCCATTTGCAATAGCAATACCTCAATGTTTGAAAGAAGGAGACCAGATGTGCATGTGCAAGCAAAAAGAGAAATGGGATTGTACATACTTTGCCTCTCCAGACCTACAAATATCCACCCAGCAGTGGTGGGCACCTAGAAGTCCCCCAGCACATCTCTGATGAGGCTTGCTAGTACTGGTCACCTATGAGAAAGGTAATAATAAAGAGGTTTGCCTCTTTTGCTTGTTTATACCACGCTAGGTAGAAAAGTCCCTCCTAAAATATTTGGATGTCTACGATGCCTTATCAATTCCACTGTATCTTTCATGTCCCTCTTTCCTGTGTTATCAGATCTTAGCCTTGGAGTGACAGAAATGCTGAGTGTCTTGGTGAATGCTCTATCAATCATGCTGCTAGCATTTAAAAGACCAGTATCTCATACCCTGTCAGGGCTCGTACCAAGTGCCATCTGTCATAAGGGAGCATGGAATGACATCTCTGCAGTAGGTGCTGTGTGTTTCCAGCTCTGTTACTTTCAGAGAAATCAGAGCATGACTTCCTGAGTGTATCCCTCTCTGTCCCTTGTGGACCATTATACATGAGGGAAAACCACATATTTTTTGAGTGAATTTTTTTCCAAGATGATTAACATTTTTTTTTTTTTAAAGTTACATCTTAAACAAAACATAAAGATTTGGGCTGTTAGGGGTCCAGCCAGTAAAGATGGATTTGAGCCTGTCTTCTTGGGAGGTTGTAACAGTAAAAGAGAAATGCATTTGATTTTATAGGGATTACAGTAATCCATCGAGCATTTCCAGGGTGCCTGAGACAAAGTGCTGGAAATGTCAGTTTGGAATAACAGCTATTGTGGCTGTGTGCAAGGAGAACTGTGCAGTGAAAATTACCATATAGGCACATGCAGGAACTTCACAGGCAAGCACAAAAACAATAACTGGCCTGTGTACTGCTGCTTGTTTTAAGAAGGAAATTTTTAATTGAAAATTTAGCACTCTTTGAGCACTTTCTCCTCTTTCTGTCTTCAGCTGCCTGCTTGCTCTGTCCTTTTTGAAAATAAACTGAGAAGGGCAGCAAAAGAAGAACAACAGCAGAGTTCTACTGCTGGGAAATACCTGGGCTCCTGCACAGCCGGTGAATGCAGGACTGGTGAAACAATGCTCACACCCCAGGGAGCACAGGGCACCAATGCAGGTAGGGATGAAGGGGTGATGCAGAGGGGTCAGGTGTACCAGCTCTGCCTCCCAGCACTCATTCCAAGCTGTGCTGCTCTTTTGGCTGCAGGGAGAAACTGAGGCACAGAGTCATGTGTGGTCTTGGCCTGGGGAATGCAGCGAGGTGGGAGACCCAGTTAGGGAGCAGAGAGTTTCTGAGGCATCCCAGGATGGACAACCATGCCTTAACCCTTTGGGTGGCTGGTTTCTGTGGTTTCCTTAGCAAGGCACATATGACAGTGCTGTGCAGACCCCACAGTGCGTCCAGAGTTCTGCAAATTTTGAATTCACTAGGTTAACCTGGAAAAGCTCAGTGATGTTGGTGAGCGTGCTGCTGTGAAAGAAATCAGGGAGCATTTCTGCAGGGGTCTGCTAAGGACCTTGGAAAGGATCTGCTTTCTCCTTCTACTAACCCAGCAAGTGGGTTCAGAGAGGGAAGACAGCCCCTCTCCTAGAGCTGAGCTTGCACCCTGCTGCATAGCCAAAAAGGTAAAACATCCCCACTTGCAGCTGGCCCCATTCCAGGCAGTGCACCATCTCTTCTCCTGGATTCCAAAACCTTCCTGAATGCATTTCACCAAAATTTCATTACACCTGGGGTTACACATGCACAAATGACATCACCCCCCTCCCCACAAGAGCTGTCACAGTACTTTTCAAGGAGGGAAAGCCTGCAACTTTGCACACTTCCCATTACCCTCCATCTCCTTGAAGAACAACCAAATATCCTTACACTGCCACAAATCCCAAGAAAGTCACAAGGGAGAAGCTCCTTACAGTCCCTGTTAGCTGCTGGCACAGCCTGGCTTTTTCAGTCAGGCACTTCCCAAGGGATTTCCACACCTGCTGCATGGACAGAGCCAGAGACTTCCCAAGCTGCTCATCCACATGCTCAGTGCAGGACCCTTTCTGCTCCCACCTCTTCCAGGGCTCCCTGTTGCAAGAGCCAGGACTTGGAGTCCAATATCCAGCAAATCCTTCCTGGCCCCCAACTGTCTCCCATCCCAGGCCCCCCTCTTTGTCTCTGGCCAATATCCCAAAGCATTCCCTGCAATGGTCCCTGCAGTGTATTCCTGCATGAAGGACTGACTTACCTCTGGCCTGATCTCCCTTCTATGTTAGAGGAGCTGCTGGTAAGAAAATTTCCTTGTGGCCCTGAGTGCTATCAGCCCAGGAAAGAGACATCTGTTCCTACAAGCAGAACAACTGGAGTGACTACAGAATATGAAGAAATGCCTAATCTGTCTCTTGCGTTCTCTCCCTCTCTTCCCCCTCCCCACCCCCCTTCTAAATATAGCCTTGCAACTAATGGGAAAAAATATACACTACCAAAAAAAAAATATTTCCACTTGTCTGTAGTGTTCAGAATTTCTCCCCAAACATCTGGCTCCTTGCCCTAAATCCTTCTGAAATTTATGAAGTGCTGTAAACGCTGAAGAGGGCTCCAGCCGTACTCACGGTGCTAATGCCTGAACATCTCTAGTAAACTAAAACTGTTGTTGCTGCCCCCAGGTCAATTTTCTTGTGTCTCTGTGGGAACAAAATCTCTTTGCTGGGAACTCGCCAGCTCAAGGCCACCACAATGCCACCACTATGTGTGATATGAGGAAATTACCCCTCTTCTCGTCTTCCTGATGTGAACTGAGATTAGAGAGAAGCATCCCTGGCAGCTGCAGGAAGGTGCTGAACCAAAGCCTGTGATGTGCTTTGAGCCAACCCAGCTGTCCAGACCCTGAGAAGACCCCTGGCCCAGGGAGCCAAAGGGTGACCCTGCACACTTTGGTAGTGCTGCTGCAGTCATTTGGGAGAGGAGATAATGAGATCTATCCAGGGCTGAAATGGCTGACCATGGGTGAAAATAGAGAGTCTGAGGTCCACCAAGGAGCCCTCCAATATGTTCCTCCATCCTCATACAGCCCTTCCCTACTGGAGGTAGAGTCATTGTGGGTGTCAGGTGGGGATTTAAGTATCTCTACACCCTTGGCTACATGAGAAGAGACTGGCATTGTACAGAGCATAATGAATTGTCCCATTTTTGAGATGGGTTCAAATCACACAGCTAGAGCAGCTTTCTGATGAGTGATGCACTAAGGACTCAAAATCCCCCAAGTTCCATCTCAAGTTCCACTTCTTGCTCCTAAACTGATACCAAAACCCAATCTTTTTTGGGGGTTTGCAAAGATGTTCTCCCCAAGAGCTTTTCAGTAGCATTAGAGATTTCCTCTGGGAGAAAAGGCAGAAAAAAAGTGAGAGCTTACATCAAATTTAGTTGCTTAGAAGTACAGAGAGGATGGATGCTGGATTTTAGTATCAGCCCTGGCCTGCATCACACTTTAGATAAAGACAACACTGGTGCCAATGCAATAAACACGCAGGATATGGCCTGTCACAACACGACAGGATCAACTGAGAGGCATTGAATTCCAGGTCAAGAGGCCAAATCCATAAATAGAGGAGAGGTAAACTCCACACATGCGTGTCTCACTGGAGCACAAACAGTAGCTATGGTTATTAGAGAAGGTTGACCTCATTTTCTGGAATTACTTTTTCACCCTTGGATCTTTCCCAGGAAGACTGAGCTGATCCTTTTTGTGTGGTTATTTTATTGATTTTCTATTTTGAGTTTCTGCACATTGAGGAGCAGACTGTTCCCCCAGTTTCAGGAACATCCTCCTTGGTTTTATGAGCCCCCTGATCCAGGGGACCTGATCCAGGCATTCCACAACTGACCTCTAGCTCGGGCAGTTTCTCACTTCCTTATGCTTGGGAAGCAAGTGTGATTGGAAAGTCTTCAAGAGCCCTATCTGGATGATCATCTTGCCTTCAGTTACCTCCATCCTGGAAGTTCAACAGGGGTAAAAAGAAAGAGAAGAAACCAACCCGTGGTCTAATGTTGGGCAGGGTGGGTGAACTTAGACCTTATTGAGGCACCAGAACAGGTTTCCCAGAGAAGCTGTGGCTGCCCCATCCCTGGAAAACTTCAAGGCCAGGCTGGATGGGACTTGGAGCAACCTGGTGTGGTGTAAAGTGTCCCTGCCATGGCAGGTGGTTGGAACTAGATGGTCTTTAATGTCTTTTCCAACCCAGACCTTTCTAGAATTCTATGATTCTATCATTCTCAATGCTTAAGTTTCCCCTAGCCAGTCAACAAAATTTTTATATTTAGGGAATGACTCCCTGAAGTTAAAAATGTGCGACTGTAAGAAAAGAGATGACTTTTCTCCAGGATGAGCTATTGGTACCTGCAGTCTGTCCACCTTCTCTGGGAATGTCTGGTCCTTCCTATATGAGGACTGGTTTGGTTTTATGCTTCCACGTGATACATGAGAGCTGCATTCCCATCCCTGTGCATGGGATAATCAGTGCCCTGCACTCCCCCACTATCCCAGCCTCTCCCTCCTTGCTGGATTTAGAGCTAGGCTCGGAGTGGCAACAGCTGCAAAGTTTCAAGTTGTGCCTGAGATAGTGCAGAACATGCCATATTGGGAAGCAGATGCTGCTGTTAAGGTGGAGAAGACACATCCGGGCTCAGGGCCATGCTTTGTCCCAGACCCGGTTCCCACACTCAACTTCAGGAGGAGTTGCAACCATAGCTGATAAATGAAGAGCTTCTATCATCTCTTGATTTTCAGTCATTTATCACCCTCCCACAGGGAGGAGAGAAAGGCAGAAATAAAAAAAAAGAGTAAAGCTTTACTAAGTGGAAAATTTTCAAGCTTGTTCATTCAATATACAATAGCATTAAATATTGGAGTGAGATTGGAGGTGGAAGAAGGTATTGGCTCAGTCAAAATCAGCACGTAGAAGGACTAATAATGATGTCAGGGAAGGATGCTACTAGCCCATGGTAATTCCTAATAATCCCTTAACCTTGCCACATAGCATAGGGCTCTGGTTAAAAGTCTTCTGTGGCACAGTGCAGAAAAGCAGGAGGCCAGACAGCTCTTGAGGGAGGTGGAGAGAAAGCTGATACCACACATCCCTCTGGGGAGATGTGTCCTGTTTTTGTCAGCAGAAGGGTGTACTCTTCCAGTCCTATTCAAAAAGAAGAACTGAGCATCCTTTGATTCCCTGCTGTGGGAGAAGAGATTGAGATTGGGTACTGGATAATGAACTTTAATAGAGCTGAGATGGGCTCAAGGCACATGGCCAGATCAGCTTTCAAGGTATCTCTGTTGACCAGCTGCAAGGACCCAAATCCAATGTCCAAACATGTCTGTGTTTTTTCAGGAAGCTGAATTTATGTTCTGTTATACTGAACAGATCCTCAAAAATTAATTATTTTCTTCAGCAGTAAAGGAGAATTCTTACCCCAGAAGGTGTTTGACATAGATACAACAGTTCAGAAAACTGAGGAGCCTTTACCCATGGTCATGACTGTGTGCAGGCCACCAAACAGTGGGATTCTCACTGCATGGAAGACACTAAAGGGTGGGATCTTCACTGTCCTATCTGGAAAACCTCTTTTTAGCAGCAGGCTTGATGGAGAGGCAACAATGTGAGCTTGCCAGGTGAGTAACCCTTTGCCATGGCAGATAAAATTAATGGCATTGAGGAGAGTTTATACCCGTTTTACCCTTTCCAACTGCTCCTCCTTCTGGTAAATCTACCCTAGGATATCCTCACGCCTTAAAAGTCCTGGAAAACATTCATGTATGTCACTATGATATGCACTGCCCATGAGCCCTAAAATCTTGATTGTCCACGGTCTCCAAGGCTATTATGGGATGATGTGAATCAGAACTGACCCAGAGAACCATGTAGGTTCTCACAGGTGGACCAGGAGTGGAGAAATTTCTGCACTGGACCACCTTCCAGGAGTCATCTTTGATTTAGAGAGAAATATGCGGGCAACAGGACTCTCCCCAAATATGGAGGAACTTTCCACCTAGGTCAGCTGTTCTTCAACCCCACCACACTTCCTTATCATAAAGAAGTGACACATGTGTGGGAACACACTCCTTTTTGGTGGCTCCTGAGCTGGTACTTTGTGGAAGTGATAGCATGGCAAATGGGCAGATCCTGAAAGCAGATCCAGGGTTCTTCTGGTGCTTTTGGTAGAATCCAAGGGAAGTCCAGTTGAAAAGACCTTGAAGATTGAGGCTGGCATCTGTCTCCAGCCTGGCTTTTAGCTTGTGGCCCTTGCTTATTTGGAGCCAAAGAGAGCCAAACATGTGGCTTCACCTGCTGGGCTATTGAGAGATCATTCTTTGCTGTCCTTTTGGTGATCCAGGTGTGTCGTGCTGGGACATCTGGGAGATCCTGGGACTGCTTTGGGATCTGCTCCCCGAGACATTCATGCTGGTTATGCTTAAGGTGCAGCTGAAAGGACTGGAGGAAAAGATCAGAGCTCTCTCTTAATTCTTAGGCAGAATCTGTTTCAACGGATGACCTTTGTCCCTTTCCTGCAACGCTGGGGTAGGAACACCAAATAGACAAAGAAATGTGAACTACTTATCCCTGGAGAAGGAGAGCTTGTATTGCTCCCCCAGTGGTATTAAATACCCCCACGGTTTTTTACCTGTTGCCGGCATGGGCAACAGAGGCTGTGGAGAGCCACAAAAGATGGTCCAGCTGGCTCTCTTGATGGCATCTCAGCAGGGTCTAGAGACAGCTGTACCTTCCTGACGTCAGCAGCTCTTCAGGACAGTCTGTGTCCTCTGCCAACTGCTCAGGATCACAGGCACTTCCCAGCACTCGCTGGACTGTCACTTGCTGTCCTCAGAGGACTGCAAGGGCTGCAGGCCACCATAATTTTGTATCCCTGCCTCTGAACAGGCTCCCCATCTGTGTGCTTGTGCAAGAGGGAGATCAGACTCTCACCATATGAGGCCTCTGCTGATGGGATCCAGCTGTGATTCGTCTGCTTGATGAGGGACAGGGAAAGACAAGTGGTGCCGTAAAATGATGGCCATGGCTCCTGTTGGGTGAGTCAGGCATGGGGGAGGAAGAGTGTAAGAGCCAGTTTTCTGCCTGCCTGCTGCATATTTGGGAATTGGCTTTGCTGACCACTAGCTCCCCCTCAGTTTTTCTCCCCAGGCTGTGGCATTTTTTGCTGATGGACCTGTTGAGCTGAAAGAAAAATGAAGATGCCTGCAGTGCACAAAAGAGCTGCTCCTCTGGGCAGCCCTGAGGTCTTTCCTGAGTGGTTTGGAGTACATTGGTCCTGCCTGTCTCCAGTTCTTGCATGAAAAGGGATGTGAAGTCCT